AAACATTTGATGAAGCCCTTCTAAGCTACTACACTAGCACCAAAGGCAGACTGATACAGGTAACTACTAGCTAGTGAACATAGTGGAGCATTAAAGAGCAGAATACTTTCCTAATGAACGCAGTCTGCTGCAGTTTGGCAAACCCCCGGACCTTTACTGTGTGTGTGTGTGTGTGTGTGTGTGTGTGTGTGTGTGTGTGTGTGTGTGTGTGTGTGTGTGTGTGTGTGTTAGAATGTATACGTGACTATATGTGTGCATCTAATTTCACACACTTCTCACCATATCGGAAAGCAGCTGTTCATCACATATGTCTCTATAGGTGTGATGCAGGGACCTGTCACATCCAGCAGCGCTCAGATCTGTTCAGGTTCAGTCGCTTCTTTATCATCAATTCACATGTTATCGTTAATGTAACACCTGCATATGAAGCGTTCAGAGAGAGAGAGTGGTTTTCTTACTTTGAGACACTGACAGATCCAAACAAAGCTTTGAATAACTTGTGTTTATTATTAACATGTATACATTCCAGTCTAGAAAGAAGACATGTGTTTCGTTGTAATATAGTTGGTCCACCAAACTGAATCAAATACTTAATTGTCTCCATCTTTTGAATGTATTACTTATTTTTTTATGTTTGGAGCTCAGCAACATCTCAAAGGTTGATCCTAACAACATTTCTCTTATGTTGTAGTAAATGCTGATTTATTTCTCTTCACAGTGATTACATGTAGCGTAAAATAAAACACAAAAATAGACATTTGCAATAAAAGGCAACACACCAAAAGACAACCACGCTGTAATATCTTTTATTAGTATGTTTTTAGTATTATTTACAGGAGCAATAATCATAAGCAAAATAACAACCCATTCTTACAGAGTATTCTGAATTCAAATCAGTTGAAGATAATAAAAGTGTAAAAAATTATTTTTTATTGCAGGAAGTTTTTTTTACTTAATTATGTGAGCAGGACTCTTCCTCTGTCTTTCTGCATCTGGTGTAATTTCCAACACTTCCGGTAGGAGGCGCACATGATTAAGCATTAATGTGTGTGAGCAACATTCACATTTGAGCCAAACAGCAGAAGTGAAAACTCCCAGAGGAAAGCGTTACCCTTGATACAAAATAATAATCATGTATTGTATTTAATATTAAGACACTATTATTGGCATTATATTGTTTTCCCCTTCAGACAAAAGTCAAATTATTTACTAAGACGTTTCTTGGTAATTCTCCCGAGATTTTGAAGCTATTATTTAGTTTTTTTTAAATGATCAAACTTTCTAATATAAATAAATTAAAATAACACACCTAATCATACTTTTACAATAGTTTGAGACACTTAATGTTCCTTTAATACACTTAACAACAGTGTAAACGATATGATCAGACTATAATAGCCTACGCACCTTTCTAATATGACACTGAAGAATACCTGATAGCTAATTACACTAAAATAAATCTCGAGAGAAATGATTTGCTTGTACAAACTTTCTTTCTGTCTGAATAATTTCAGCCCGGAGCTCCCTGCTGGATATTCTGACAGGCGATAATATACTAGTCGTTTCATATAATTAGATGATCTGTGAAACCGTGCAGCAGGTCTATCTGAGCTGCAGCAGCGACACAAAGCAGAGAGTCTCTTTGCGGATCCCAACACGTTTTGGCGCAGAGCTGCGGGGCTGCAGAAAGTTTGACCTCAGTTTGACTCCCGGCTGCAGCCAGTTGCTCCATGTTCCTCCAAACAGCAACAGACAGGCACACATCACAAAGACAAAGACTCTCTAACCATGGAGATGTCATTTATTTAAAAAAAAGTACGTATTTAAATTAATATTAACATTTGCATTATTTATCAGACCGTTTACTGGCCTAAAAATAACTTACAGAGACTTATAATATAAATATATAACATTACACATCCTAGGCTTTGTGTGTTTTAAGCCAACATAAAGTACCTTTGTCTCATTACAGAAACAAACAAGCAGAAATCACAAAGACTAGCACCCGTGAAACCATGGAGATGTTGTCTTTATGTATCATTTATTTGTTTAACTTTTATTTATTTTAATTAATATTCAAATGTGCAACATTCTCTGACCTTAAAATGACCAAAAGAGAGCTAATATAGGAACATGTAACACTACACATCTTAAGCTTTGTGTTTTAAGGCAACATAAAGACTACAAGTTGTCTTTGTCTCCTAACAGCACAGGTCACGGCGCACAGGCCGTCTAATAACACGTCCATTTGTTTCGGCAGTCAAACATGCTGTCAATTTACATTCAGCCGTTTGAAAGTAATACCTGCTGATTTTATTGGAACGACTGAAAGCATTACCGTCATCGCAAAGCGGATTAAACAGAAATGACGGTATTTGCCCCCCTGCTCTCTTTCGGGATGCCAAAATGCGCTGACCCTCACGAAGGAGCAACTCCAGGAGAGAAAGTGGAGCTGCAGTTTGCTTTTATAGACGCTAATTGAGGTAGCTTAATTGCTTTATAATGCCATTGTAGTTATTTTACAGTGGTCAGGCTCTGATGTGGTCTCCTTTCATGTTAATGTAGCTTTGCTTTTTCTCAATGACCCTCTACATTTTAGTGTGCCTTGTGGTGCAGTGAGCTATATAATCCTGTTTACGTTTCACTAAACCAACACATTGCTCTCAAAGTGGATTCAAACAGCAGCTTCTCAAAAATAACGTCTCTTTAAGAACATATCAGTGACAATAATAAGCTTTTAAATTATTTAATAACACCATAAAATAAAACAATAATGAAGAAATTAGAGGTTATACTCACCAATAATTAATTGCCATAACAAATTCGACCCAAAGGCTGTTTATTAATTGATCCGGAATCTCTGTGCGTAAAAGTCCGTGCGTCCTGTCGGCTCCGTGGCTCCTCTGCTGCCCGCGCCCCGGAGCGTCGCTGGCCGGACTGCACGAGGCTTTGATTGTAATTTTATGCTTGTAAATGGGTCCCCTCGGATCCCATCACTCGGGCTTTACCACAGGAATCACCGCAGAATGTGTGAAGCCGCATTATCGTGTTATGACACTGTTTCTGGCACCGGGGGCAGATGATCAATGAGTGGACGGGCTGCACGAAAAAAGAAAAAAAAAACTTCAAACAGGCTGTCACCGACCAGCAACACCTTATGAGCATAATCAGGAGATCATGTGGCTCTTTTAGACACACTCTTTTAATAGCTTCACCTGTGATGGGCTGAGAAATAAATGAACAGTATAGTCGATGATCATCATGTGGAAAACAACTAGAAAAATAGACAAAAATCCACTCAAATATTCCGGAAATCCCTCAGCGTCTTACCTTGAAACTTAGTCAATCCACGTACTTTATCCCGTTTTTACAAGACTGCATATGCCATGAACTATATCATAAATATTGTATGCAAATGTTGAGGCAGTTATGCTCTTTTCTTAATTAAAAAAATATTGAATGACTAAATTAAATAAGATTTCTACGCCTTTATATGCCAGTGAAGAATGAAATATAACGAGTGAAAGTTGTAAATCCAAACTATTTTGTTAATTTACATCCACACATTACTCAACGATATCATTACTTCTTTTGGGAAATTACTGGAGAATCTATAAGTTTCCCCTCCACAAATTAAAGCTCATCAATATTTGACCAAACTTTTACAACCTCTGCTCTGCAAACCGTGAAATGTTAATTATAAAGAGACAAAAGTTGAACTAATAACTTCTGTGGAGAGAAGAAAGTTGTAAATATCTTAATGTAAGTGTTAACTGTTTGGTTTTGAGTCGTTTAGTCAGAGTGTGAGTGCACTTAGAAGTTATTAATGAAGTTAGAGATGTGAAAATGTGTGTTTTTACGCGTGCGTGAGAGAGGAGACCGAACGAGGGAGAGAGAGAGTGAGAGAGAGAGAGAGAGAGAGAGAGAGAGAGAGAGAGAGAGAGACGTCTTGGTTATATCTATATAAATATTCTCTATTTCAGTGAATTTACAGCGTGTAGAAAACACAGAGTGTGTGTCTTCTATTCGCAGACGATGTTTTGTTTTGTGCCTCGTCGCAAATGTGGCCTAAAACCGATCAATCAGCCCCGGATCGATCACGAGGGGAGCCAATAGGGGGCTCCCATCCCTGAGCCTCTCTACCATTGGTCATTCCTGGCAGACTGGAGCGACCCATTCAGCGCTGCAGTGGGGGAGAGGGACGGAGGACATATGAACTGTTATTTAGACCTGAAGATGTTTTAATGACTTATTTCAGCATATAGCCTGATCCAAATATTATTACTGCTTTTACACAGATAACATCCCTTTGTTAAAAAGCAATATAAACAGTGATTCCTAATTACTTGAATAAAGTTGTATGTGTTGTCCTTTCTCTCTGAAATGTGGCACTTTACCAAGCAGTTTATGATGTGCATTTCCAATATTTAACATTCTGTACGTTAGGGAGTAAAAAGGCTGTATTGAAGTAAAAACTGAGTCCAAACTGTGTGTTTGGCTCCAGCTTCCACTGTGGATATCATGCAGACATGCTGTTGACAGAAGCTTAACATGACTTTAAATCTGTTTTAATGAACTACTTTCACCTTATGTTTATAAATAGGAATACACACAAAGTTAAATCCAGTCTTATTTTACAAATCCAACCATATTAGCTGTTGAAAACATACCTGACAATATCTCACATCAGAGTTGAAAGCAGGTCGTTAATAAACTGTTTACAAAAAGAAAAGTGGATGCTGCGCGTAAATCCAGATAAACAAGAGTTTTTTCCGGTATATTAAAACATCTCCAGAGTGAGAATTAGAGTCAGTTTCTGAGAAAGAGACATGAAGCCGGAGTCAAAGGTGTGTATTCGCGGTTTATCCCCGTGTTGTTGCAGCTCGCGGTCTCGCTGGGTCCTCCCACCCCCCCTCCTCTCCGCACGACTTGCTGCAGCCCGGTGCGTTGTGTAAGACGCGACCTGTTATGGCCACCACTACTTCCGGGTTTCAGCAGTCTGGTCCAGATCCTCCGCTCCTCCTCAGCTCAACACACACATCCATTGTACACAAACGGGCAGGCGGCTCACGCATACACATGCACTCACACACATGCACACGTATATACGCACACACGCACAGCATCGATCGTGGCTCCTTTAAGAAAAGCCTAAGCCAGAATTATCACCCCACCTCCTCTTGATCTCCTCTAGTTGCGTTTGCACAAGAAAATCAAGCCGGGAGCCGAGAGTGATCACAGAAAACCAGAGGAGAGCAGCTTCATTTTTTAACTGTGATTGTGACCATTAACATTTAGCTGGTGCCGATCCCGTGGAGACGCGCGTCGGACCATCATTCATCCGGTACTTTTGACAAGCCCTCGCGTTTTGACTGACAGGCGGAGTGACAAAAAGCCATGAGAGTCGCCACTTTTGTTTGAGGGGCTATTTTATTTTCCTCCTGGTTTCGGAAAAGGAGCCTGGCTGCCGCTGCCCCGAGGATAGCCGAGGACCTATTCGCCGCGCCTGGGCTAAACTTGCGCAGAAAGCGGGGGCTGGCTCACCGTTCCGTGGAAGAAGAGGCATACGGGATTTTGTTGCTGAAACATCTTCCCATTTATTTGGATTTTCTTTCTTCATTTCGTCTCCACCCTGGCATCAGAGGGGATTTATCTAAACTGAAAGGACGACCAGGGAGTCAGGAGGGTTATGGCGCAACGGGTACGTAGGGCAATCCCCCTAAAAAAAAGTTTCTCTAAGTCTGCTGTGCCTGAATGCGATCCTGCGCTGTAAAACGTGGCTTAATGACACACGGACATACACTCGTAGCGAAAGTTTCTGTCTTCCGTCTGACACATGGTGACACAATTTCCATTTTTGCCGTCTTTTGGCACGGTATTACGCACGGCCGCACTCGTTCGCTGCACAAACCGGCCCGCTGAGGGACATTGGAAGCGTGATCATATCTCACATCGGCTATGTTTTTTAGATTAGTTATGACAGGCCAGTTACTGGAAGCGAAATGGGGGAGGGCATGGAGGCAAAACAAATCTCCACATTTCTCCCCAGACTGTTCCATCATTATTTCATATTGAGTGGAGCATTTTTTAGCAGAACAAAACTCCTTATTTCGCAATCAGTTGAGCTTCGTCATTCAACTTTACACTGCCAAAAAAAGCTAAAACATGCAATATTAGCATCATGTCAGAGGCAGTTTTTTAGTAATGAGCTGATGACAATCGCTTTGATTCATACACTGGGATCTTCACAGGATAGTAAACAGTGTAAAAGCAGAGATGTTAGAGACACTGGACATGTAGCTTCTTAGTTTGACACTGGAGCTGCAGCACACTGGGGTTTGCACCTCTTTGCTCAGCTTTTAAGTGATAATGCTTTTTACTCGGCACTTGTTTGTGACTTCTAGAGAGCACTATCAATAATTCAAGCCTCTTTTTTCATCTGTAAAAGTAGCCAAACTTTCAACAACAAAAAAAGCCCTTATTTAGCCTTTTGAAAACATAAATCAACATGTGTCCTTTTTAACGCATCATCTAAGTGTTTAAAAACTATTAGACCACAATGTGGACGGGAGAGTGTATAATTCAACTTAAAACTTGAATACAAAAAAGTTAGAAAATCCAGTTTAACATCGTCTAAAACACTAAGCGTTTACTTGCGTTTGTTGCATTCTCACAGCGTGCTTAGTGCAAACATGTTGCACAATTATGGGCCTTTAAAATTAGAAAACACTGAAATTAACAAGTTTAAGACATTTGTTGTTGAACACTGACAGAACACAGTAAACCAGACTGGTGGGGTTAAAATAGCACTTATAATGATCATAATAATAATAATAGATAATAACTGATGTATGTAGCTGTAGTTTTACTTTTTTGTTCTCCCAGTGTTTTTGAACGTATTGGATAATTATTATGTATTTGAGCTACAAGGGTCACTGAAAAAGTTTAAAAGAAAAATAGTTTTAATGTTAGAATAAATGCTGTAGTCTTTCAACTGTGAATGTCCTGCTGAAAAACACATGCACATCACTCTTAAAACGTATGTTTTCGTAAACAAGTATAACATTTTAACGACCGAGATAAATGCATTTCTCATGTTTTTCAGTGTCAGTATTCAGAAAGAAAGCAGAAAAAGGGCAGCTCAGTTCAGTTGTGGCCGTAAACCGCTTTGAATTAAGAGAAATGTTAAAACAAGTCAATTTCTTTGGAAATTAATGAAACTATTTCGCCGTGTTGGCAGATTACTTTTTTAACAGAAGAAACACATGACTTAAACTCTCACTTTTGCTTCTTCAAAAATATATTCCTAACTTGTGGTTTTATAGCAAAGTTATATCCAGAGTTTAACACATTATTGTGCATGTTTTCACTGTGGACTGTGTTTGTTGTGTGCAGTACGAAGACTTGCCCCACTACGGGATGGACGGGGTGGGCATCCCGACCACCATGTACGGAGACCCGCACGGAGCCCGCTCCATGCAGGCGGTGCATCTGAACCACGGGCCCCAGCTGCACTCCCACCAGTATCCGCACACCGCCCACACCAACACTATGCCTCCCAGTATGGGCACCTCTGTTAACGACGTTCTCAAGAGAGATAAAGACGCTATATACGGGTAGGTGTCCGCGGGGAAACTCGCTCTGCGGCGGGCAGGCCTGGAGGGGGCAGTCGGGGTGGGCTAGCGGTGTAAAGTCAGTCCCGTAGCAAGAAAAACACCGGCTCCATGCCCGGGAAGCGTTTCAGCAAAACAGTGGAGCCCAAACTGCTGCAGAAAAAACTAACTGCAGCCTTCATGTTCTCCAAACAGTTTGTAATGTTAGGCTTTTAAAGTCAGTCGCTTTAATTACGCATGAACAAATACTAAATGAGTAAATAAAGAAATAATACTTTTCTGATAGTGTATTTCTTACGAATTTGCTGCCATTTAATTCCTTGCAAATTGTATTTTGACTTTTAGGAATAATTATGACACAAAACCACTTTAATTAGAACTTCCAATATTTTCAAAAAAAATGTAGCTTGCTTAATTTCTTATTAAGTTTCATCGTTTATCACGTGGCAACAAAATAATTAACTCCTCTCTTTCAGCCATTTTAATTAATTGTGTGTAATGTTCCAGGCTTCAGCAAATTAAAAATATATCATGTTTAAAGGAAATCCCACATAAGCTTGTCATTTATTAATTTACAGGAGTTAATTAAAAATTCTAAGCATGATGTCTTCACGGTGGCTAAACATGCCAGTAACAGTTTCTTCATATTGTCCCATACTGACATAACTTTCAACACATCACCAGTCTAGACATATTTACTCTGCTGACTTAAACAATAAATACTAAAACACAACTGTGCGTACACACGTAGTTTCAGAGGCTCTCACCAAACACACACACACACTGGGATCCAAACGGTGTGCAAGAAATTGTTTGACTGGCTCTAAAGCTTTTATGCTATTAGGCGCGCCTAGATTTAATCACAGAAGTCTGCCCGCTGTTTGCAGCCTTTCTCCGAGCTCTGCATAATATAATAGCCCGGGCAGCAGCAGTCCCCATGGGCGAGTTGTTGGAGAGTAGCATGGCTGGCTAAACCTAGCCCGGAGTAGTCTTGACCCCGGCGCTGTTCTCTCTGGTGACATTTGCTATTGTGTGTGTTCCCAGGCACCCCCTGTTCCCCTTGCTTGCACTGATTTTTGAGAAATGTGAATTAGCGACGTGCACCCCCAGAGAGCCCGGGGTGGCGGGCGGAGACGTCTGTTCATCGGAATCTTTCAATGAAGACATAGCAGTGTTTGCAAAACAGGTCAGGAAACTTTGACTTTTTTTAAATCTGCATGCTCGGGCTGGTTCAGCTCTCACCTGCATGCATTACGCGTAGAGCTCTTTCTTATGGATCTAAAGTTGATCCTGCATTGAGAGAAAATAAAATAACATTGCCTCGTAAAAAGTTTTTTTAAATGTTTTAATTTCTTACGCTGTGTTTGCTGTGCGTAAAGTATACATTAACACGACACCATGACAATACTTGCATGTCATATTTAATGTACGTTATAAATATATGTATTAATATAACTTATATATTATATAAATATATTATACTAATATATTTTGTAAAAATTTGTTTTTCTTCTAGATTCGGGCAGAAAAGCCTTTATTTTCATCGAATCCAGAATTGGATAATCTGGTAAGATATACATACATATATTTTTTGCATACATGCCAACTAAAATGTGCTTATTCTCTTGGAGTGTCTTGGAGTACACCAGCTGTTGTTTGCCTGTTTATACCGGGCTGTAGGTGTCAGAGAGCCCTGTGGTTCTGAACCGTCAGGATGATGCTCCTCTGTTTGGGCTGTTTGATTCCATGATGGCCCCCGGTGTATCTGCAGATGAAGGGCCGCTGTTAGACAGCTGACACAAACCGTTGAACTGTGCCTGGGAACTTATTCTCTTCATGCTCCTCACTTTGTACAGTTTGATAGTGTGACTGTGATGTGAGAGTAACGTTTTCCTCACGAGTATCTGTGCTAATAGATCTGACTGAGGCTTATTGCAGCGCCAGCCTGTACTGTATGTCTGCTCTCCATATTGCAATAACGTCCAAGTTTAATATCTGTTCCACATAAAATCCATTCATATGAATATTTTTCCTCGTCTGCAGTTACTTGTATTGAGAAAAACGTGCCTGTTTAATATCAAGAGATGTGAGCAACTCATTTTTTATTGTTATTTAAATTTTTCAGATGATTCAAGCCATTCAAGTTTTACGATTTCATCTTCTGGAGCTGGAGAAGGTAATATTCCCTCACCATTTCTCTGTCCAGTGCGCCACATCAGACCTAGGGGCTGTATTTGCAGAAATGTATTTTTGCTAGTCGGTTATAATTAGCGTCAAAATCAATCATGGGGCCATTTCTCTTCCGCGTTTAATCACGATGCAAGCTGTTACAACTGGAACGGATATCTCTGTGCCCAAATCTCCCTGCATGTTTTAATGAAGTTTAATGCTGGCAGAAATTGCATACAAGGTGAAACATATAGGCGAACTCTGCGGGATTTTAGAAATAATTCCTCGTGGAGGGCAATAGGCCCCATGCAGCCATCTGTGGATAGAGGCAGCAGTGGGTGTACAACTCTGATTTGTTTCCCTATCAGATGGAATACAGTAGCATGTGCAAATTAGCTTTAACCTATGGAACATTATAAAAACTGTTAAAGTTTTAAAAGTTGGTTATCATGCCCTTTCTTGGATAATGTGCTTTAAATAGATAGTAAACTGTGCAAATATCAAGTAAATGTTGATCAAGTTAAAGCTGGTTTCTCTATATTTCTCTGCCCAACTGACATGTGTTCTTCTCGGGCGACAGGATGCGCATTGGCAGTGATAATGTAATAAGTCTGCGAAATTAAACAGTTTACCTTAAATGTCAGTCATGCGGGTCATCCTGTTCTAATGGCCACTACCCGGGGCTCCATGATGAATTTAACACGGGTGTTGAGTGCGTTGTAGCCCCTGAGCCCTCTTGTCACTGTCAATTTTCGACGATATCTCTATTTTGAGAGGAGACAAAATCACAGTCCGGATGGAGTGCACTGCCAGGGCACTGGAACTGGACATACTTTAGCCTAAAGGAGTCCAAATGTATCTTATTTCAGTTTTTACAATTTCAAATCAAAGGTGAATCAATTTAAATGTGCAAAATAAATAAATAAAATGTGAGTTTTTGATCATGTTAGCCAAATAATGTATCATAGTGCCAATACGTTGCCAGAGATCAGTCATGCTTCATGTTAAACATATTTAAATATTTTAGATGCAACAACTGTGCTGTGATCTTCGGGTCTGCCAAATTGCCTAAAAACTATTTTGCATGTCAAAGGCTGCCATGTGTGTGTGTGTTTGCACATGTCACTGTTGTGTGATGATGTCCTATTTTTTCGGGTGAGTGTGTGACGCCTCTCCTCTCTATCTCTCTGAAGGTACACGAGCTGTGTGATAATTTCTGTCACCGGTACATCAGCTGCTTGAAAGGCAAGATGCCCATCGACTTGGTCATAGACGACAGAGAGGGCGGCTCCAAATCAGACAGCGAGGAAATCACAAGATCATCAGTGGCCCTTGATCAGGTACATCTCTCTCTCTCTCTCTCTCTCTCTCTCTCTCTCTCTCTCTCTCTCTCTCTCTGTGTGTGTGTGTGTGTGTGTGTGTGTGTGTGTGTGTGTGTGTGTGTGTGTGTGTGTGTGTGTGTTCTCCCTGCTGGCTATTCAGCTATTCTGGGTCACTACTCCGCTGCGCTGTTATTTGCATATGATTAAGGCTGTTTCACATTCCATCCATCGGAATGAATTTTTTTCCTGAATAATGTTATTGGCCCATTAAGACTTGAACCCGGAACCGACCTGGGAAGATTAGCTCGAAAAAGCATCGCCATAAACTTGACCTGTTTCATGTCGATTTTAATTTAGTGCTTCTCCATTTCTCCCTGTACTCTGTTTGTCTTTTTTTGAAGCGAAGCGTTATCAGCTCCTCTGTGTAGATGAGGTATGATGGGCTGCAGTCTGTGGTGGAGGTGCCTTGGTTTCTCCACTGTGGAGTTCACGGTTCATTACGCGTCTTGTCAGTATTTTTCCTTAGACATGAGTGCACATTGCTTATCGAGACCCCTCTTCCTCTTCCTCCTATATTTCGCTCTGAGCGCGCTGATTCAGTTGCAGTAAGAAGGATTTATTTTCCAAAAAAACTAAAGAAGCAGGGGGCATTAAAGGTAGATTAGGGGGTGTTTCCTTTTGTGCCGATATCAGAGATAACCCCAGCCTTCATTATGTGCTCCACTGACTGTTGGTACTCCGGAGACATTGTAGTGTGCGCGCAGGCATGACCCTAATGGCCCGTACACTGCCGTTAAATAATGATAACAGCAACCAATGATTAGAATTATGCAAATCTGGATTTTCGACCATAATAGCTCGAGTCATTTGTGCAGGAGACAGCGGAACATGTTTCAATAAGTTAAACTATCCCAGAGTTTTAAGGAATGGTTTAGGAAAGCAGCCTATGGATACCGATGAGGGAAAAAAATCAAGTGGGCAAATTAAAGGGATTAGTTGGATAGTCCGACATAAAAAGTAATGAAGCGATTAGGCTAAATAATTTAAATCCGCGGACTTCCATATGGTTGAGTGGCTGGTCTGAGTAGAGAGAGGCAGCCACCGGCTTTAATGTTCAGGCTGAATGGCAGGACTGGGAGCGGACTGGGAAGCCCCCCCCCCTCCGCGCGCATGCACTCCAGCCCTTATGTCTGATTATGGAAATGAGAAAGATCACCCGGAAGATTATACTTCATTTAATCCGGGAACAGAATTAAATAACACAGACGCCACTTGTGCATTTAAGTGTCTCTTTGAACGGCTGGTTGTATACTCTCGGGGATTCAGTTGTCAAAAGTTTTTTTTTTTTTTAATAGATAGGTCAGGACATAGAATGAAGTCTTATGGTATATAGATATGGAAATAGACTGTGTTAAATCCCATGGGTTTCTAGGTATATGAAGAAAATGATGTTGTGCTTGAGGCTCTGATGCAGATCTTTAATTGACTGTAAGATGAAGACATGGCCTATTTTAATATAATGATGGTCCCTACATAAAGCAAATTCAGGGCAAAACCACATAAGCCCATGTTTACTCTGATGTGACAGAATAATAGAAATGACCTACAGGCAGAGTTTGCATTGCAACACAGGGAAAACTTTTTGACACATGTGTATTATTGAGGGGTGCTGTAGGATAACATTGAGACTGCCCACAGTGTGTGTAAATGAGCATATCCAAACAGACTGCATGCCTCTCACTGCTGGATCTAATGGCACTGCACTTCAGAACTTATTTGCGGCTGAATATGTATTTTTTCAATTTTGCAGGCTATTTTTGTGTGACATCTTATCTGCAGTTGTTAGGCAGTGACATCCTTAACGAATTTGCGTTGTCTGTGCATTATCTCTTTCCATATGTATTTTTAATATATGCCCTCGGGCATAAAGTTGAAGTGGACTGGAAAAAATAGCTGAGAATTTGCACAAAAGAACAATGTTAACAAGACGGAGAAAGCAGGCTCATTTATTCATAAACCAATTTATTCCAGTGAGGCGACCAGAGGAGGAAAAAAAATGTCAGAGGAAGAAATACTTTGAATTTATTAAACTCAACAATCCAACAACGCTGACTTTCTTGCTGAATTATGCACCCTTGCTTCATAACAGTAATTTTCAGAATAGTCTTTACATGTCTTTACATTGCTTTGTTAGCCTGCCTATACAGGCGAGTGGAGGGACGCCGAGCGCCCCTTTCAAAAGAAAGCAGAGCATAGCTTAGAGGTGAACAAGTCAGAGAGGCTCTGCGCTGGCTTGTGAATGCAGCCCAGCCAGTTTGGGCTCACCCTCCTGTGTTTGTGTGTGCCTTTCTGAGAAGGTGTGTGTGTGTATGTGTGTGCAAAAGTGTATGAGCTGTGTGCATGCATCTGTCTGCAAGTGTATGCATATGTGTATCTGTGTGTGTTTGTGTTTTCACTGCTGTGTGCATGTGTGTGTTCAGACTGGCCTGATAAATGCAGCACCCCCCTCAGGTGCTATGTGAGTGGAGTGACTGGTTAGCACCAGTTGGACGTTCTTAACCCTTTCCCTGCCGCTCCCTGGAGAGATTCCCACCACGTTTGCCTCATTTCTTCACATGAGCAGCACATTTCCAGTTGCCCCATTAGAGATATACATCCTGCTTTGAGTTCAGATGTATATAAACATGAAAGATACAATAAAATCCCAGACTGATTTAGCAGAGGCCTTTAATGTGGAAAGGCTTGTGCACTGACTATGGCTGCAGTTCTTGTTGTTGTGGAAATGTGGCAGCAGTTGCTCTGCTCCCTATTTGTGCGGCTCGCATGCTCACCTCAACCTGAAGAAGCGGGGAGGTATTTCCACGCCGCAGACCGTCATTTGCACATTTGCCTTTAATTGCGCAGAGAGCACAGGGAGGGGCGCAGCAATTTGCTAATGAAGTCGGAGGGCCGGGCTCCGCTGTAGAGCAGAACAGTACTAATAGTGCTGAGGACTCACTCCAAGTCTCAAGAGCTCCTCTACTTGATTGAGCCATGCAGGCTGAAGTGGTGCTGGAAATAATTGAAATTTCCCTTAAAAAATATTGTCCGCCTGCCTTTTGGTGAATGTCAGAGAGTCTTAAACGATTCTGAATGCCCTGCAGTTGATCTGTTGAGTCAATTTAGTGAAGAGGTATTCCTATAACAAGAGGAAATGTGTGACCTTTCAGAGTCAGATTTGTTTCTGTTTAAATCATGTAAAAAGAATGTGAAATAGTCTTCAATCTGAAATCTATACATTTGGGATCCGTTTCTGTTTTTCTTATGGCCCGCTCAATCTTTCCTAAACAAACCATGCTTGTGTGAGCTTAGTGTTGTGGTCACTGTGTAAGAATTTGCTCTTGATAGTGCTATCGCGGTATCTTTTCCCAACAATTGGCACTGTTATGCCATACAAGTGCTGGTTTCCAGGTCAGTGGGACCCAGCAGTGTTGGTTTAGGTAACTCTGGCGGTCAAAGAGTGACCCCTGGCCCCCTCCCCTCCTAACTCAATGGAAACCCTGACCGCTGGGGTCAGCCACTATTTTCCTAATCAGTACACCGCTATCGCTAATCTATCCGCTTCTCGTTGAAGTATGGATCAAGTTACACCCGACTTAACAGGCACACACACTCGCCCTCTTTTTTTCAGTCCCCCGCTCTCCTACAGTGGCACGCTGCTGGTCGCAATACAAACTTTTGAATCATCGCGGTGATTGTTGGTAATGGCAGCTTTTGTAGTTGAATAGAGGAGAGGTTTGACCCCCACTCGCCCCCTCCCTCTTCTACACCCCCTTCTCCCTCCCCTCCCCTGAACTCCCCTTTTTTTTCCATTGGGGGAGTGAATGCAGGGCGGCTGTTAAGGATTCAACAAGTGATACAAAGAGGCGACCACGTGACTTGTGTGTTTCTTAGCCTCTTCATTATTGTGCTGGAATAGCAAGTAGGGAGATTCTGATTAAGCAAATCAAGGCCAGAGTGACTTCAAAGAACACAAGTGTCTTATATACTTTCATACATTTTCAGATAAGAACTTTCTTTGTACTTAGTTCTGGATTTTTCTTATTATTAGTTGTTTTTAAGTCATGCACTTTTGCTTGGGTTTAACAGAGCTGCACTGTGTTATAGCTTTTCTCTTTTGATGGGGACCAAATCCCAATTGCAAATAAAGTTCTTGGCTAGTGTCTCGTGTTACTTATGATGGGCGGCCATGTCTGTCCCCGAGGCCTGCTGTGGTTTCTTTGGCTAAGTAAACAATAACCTGGCTTAACACATGTGTACTTAGCTAATGGAAAGTTCCTCTCCCCCTTAACCCCCTGCGAGCCTCTGACAATGGCCACCGTCACAAACAGCCCGTCTCCAAGGGATCCACGGAGAACATCCCAGCGCAGCGGCGGAAAGTCAAGCTAGGCTAACGAAGTAAACCGCAGCAAAACATGTCATTAAGAAATCACGCCCGCCTTTTCATTCACGACCAAATAAAATGGGAAAAATGCTTTGTTTGGGGTGAGATAGCGGCGAGGGGAGGGCACTCGAGTTAATGTTTTTGTTTGGATTTCAGCTCACAGAGAGTAAACAAGGAGTCTGCAGCGAGAAGTGAAGTGGAAGAGGCCACAGAAAAAAAGAAAATCAGTTTGTCAGTTTCCGCGAGTGTCATCTAAATGGACTTTGAAAGCTCTGGTAATTATCTCAAACATGTAATTATCTTTGGTTGTCTCTATGAGGTTAACCCAGCAGTTTTAAAAAGCCGACTGAAGAGTACCTGACGGCTATTCAGTGTAGCATACTTACTCAAGAGACCAAATCCAGTTCTCTCCCTCACCCCCTACAGCAATTATAAGGTTATTTCTTCTTTCTTTGTCTATTGTGAAGAGTTAGGGAGGAAGGGGATTGCAGAACAGAATGGGAGGGAGGAGGGTCTTTTCTCTCCCACTCCCCTTTTTTTTTTGCATACCATTATCAGCCCCTCTTTTCATTTTGGAAGCACTAATATTGCAGCGAGGGGAGGAGAGGGGTGGAGGTAGTTGGGCCGGTTATCAGAGTGGCAGATCCTGCTTTATCTAGTCTCAGTGCACAGCAGAGTAAACAAGAGTTCACAATAGCTGGCCTTTCAGCCCCTTCACTAACAGCTTCCCCAGCAGCATTCAGCTGAGTGGGAGAATGTGTCCGCGGTTATTGCAGGCCATCGCGCCGCTGCAACACATGGCATTCTGCAGAACTCAACTGGAGGAAGCAGTGCTGTTGCAAAGGTCAAAAACGGTGTTAAAGAAAACAACCGCAGAGAACACATGCACCAAAGCATTCTGGGGGATGGAGTAGCCCAACTGTCATCTTTGATTCAGATGTACCACCCCTGAAGAGTGTATGTGTGTGGGGTTATTTGGATATCTGTGTCTGTGCCGTTAAGTATGCACATATGATTATTCCTGCACGCTCGCTGGCACAGAGTGAAAAGTAAATATCCATATCATCACAAAAGATATTTCAGAGTCAGGAAAGGCAGGGCGTGAGGGGGGGAGGCACAACAACCTTAACCATTTCCTTTATTATTGCAAATGAATTGGCAAGGCAACATATCTTGCATGAGTGCTTGTATGATATGGGGCCTGGCACAGCGAGAAAGGGAAGCCCCCCTCGCATCTTAGATGCGGCACAATGAGAATGCATTGGATTGGAATGCCTCGCCGATCATAGCGGAATCAGAATTTCCAGCAAGGAAAATCTTTTCATGGCGAATTAGGGTGGTGGAAGGAAGAGAAATGCTAATGAAAAAAAAGGTATGCATGGCTCACAAACAGGGTTCCCTCGGCTTGGCGCGGCAGATTTAAGAAGTTTAGCTAAAGCTAGGCAGAATAGAATGTGGGAAATTGAATTTACCAAACAATTAAGCACTGAATTAATCTACATCCCGCACAGGAGAGACGGAGAAAGAGTTAAAGAGAGGGCGGGGGGAGACTGGGGGGAGACCATGGCGGCTCATTAAGGGGACATAGAATAAATCAAGTGTGTAGCTATGTGTGCAGAGGGACAGCTCACTCCTTCTCTGTTTCCTCCAGCTCTCTGTTTATACATCTATTCATCCTGTGGATTACCATATCCCGTGTTTTAAAGGTGGACCTCTGCATTGTGAGCTGTAGTCTCATTGGTAGTTGGCACAGGGTGTGTTTGTTTTTTCTGTCTCTGTGTGTCTTGTGGTCAAGGTGTGTGCTTTGTTAAACAGAGAATGTGAGTATGGCAGTTCTGTGTTTGCAAAAGGTAGATAAAAGGTATCTGTTTGTGTGCGTGTGTCTAACTGACTGTATGGGTGCTGTGCGACCAGTGTGTGCTGGTATGTGTGTGTTGTGTGATCTCAACCGTGTGTGTATTAATTGAGTGTTAGATCAGTGCCGGGCCTGTTCCATCCAAGGGCGGCCTGTGATTATAAATAAACTCCCCGTCCCCGCGGAGATGCCACCAGTCCCGGCCTCAGCCCCGCCCCCTTTCCCATGGGGCCTCAGCGGCCACCTCCCAGCAGGCAAAGCACTCTTTTGTTCAATTACAGCTAATGCAGTAGTTTGTCATTTCCCCTCTTCCATTTTGTAATTATATTTTCAAGTGCAATTTGTGACAGAATTAAAACAAAAAGAAAATGAGAAAACACCCTTTTTGCGTGCTGAGGCTCTTGTTTTTTTTGCCGTTTGACATCCCCTGGGTGCAGTGCTATTCTTTTTTCACAGAGCTCGGAATGAACAAGTTTTGCTCATTTTTAAAAAGCTGCACTTTTGGAGGAGCTGGCAGAAGCCAGCGTTAACTGTTTGCGTGCTGAGCATGTGGTCTGGATTACCTCACGTCTGATGTTTCTGGAGTTGCTCGGTCATGCACGGGTGTTTCATTTTTCAGCGTTCTACGGTCAGAAAAAAAGAATTTGTAAGAAGTGGGAAAAAAAGCGCCTCTTGGTATCTTATCCCCCTTTAAAATCAACGTTTATCCTCCCAATCACAATCCCCATTCTTTCTGCGGGACTTTCCTTTTTTATTGCAAAGCCTCAAAGCCTAATTTGAAAAACAACGATTATATCGTCCATGTAAGCACAGGATTATAATTTCATAGCCCAGGAAAACATCAAACGGGCTCTAATAGACCCCAAATGTGTTGAATTTGCTGACTTGTATATTCTTTTCTGTTATTCTATTCCTTTTACATTTTTTCTTTAAAACAAACCCTGTCATGAATTAATGTCTACTCATTTTTTCATAATTCTCAACTCGGCTCTGAACCTCCTCACACAGTCTTGTTGTATCCCAATTGAAACCAGTTGTTCCCCAATGGGTTTCTCTCTTCTCCCTCCACTCTTCCTCCATCTGGGTTTCTATCACTCATTTCGTCACGTAGCCCTAAGAGCATGATGCAAACACCACATTGCCCCTTGATATCTGCTTCATTTGATTTGGCAGAGCAAAGATAGACTCACACAGGCATCAGAGTAGGCTCGACTAAGTGTGTGTGGGGTGTTTTGTTTGTTGGGTGTTTGCTTGTGATAGCTATTGCTGCGTGTGATAAGACATTAGATTCCATTTTCTTCTATTTTGAAGTCTCTTTTCTCTCCTGTCCTCGGCGGTAATGTTGCTTTCAGAGGCACTGAGAGATAAGAGGTAACATCTGGTTAGGTTTCAATAATATGCAGCAGCCTCGTATGGGGCAGAGTGTGTGTATATGTGAATGTAAATGTGTGTGTGTGAGGGTACTAAATATGTTAGTATTATTAATGTGTGTTTGTATTTGATGTCTTCTCACCTGAGTGTTTGTATCCTTACTCCCCTGTTCTCCGGTGTGCAGCTGACAACTGTCCTTTACCCTTACACACACACACACACACACACACACACACACACACACACACACACACACACACACACACACACACACACACACACACACACACACACACACACACACCTTACTATATATAACCCAGGTCTCTTGTGTCTCTTTTGTCTGGTCAGCTGCTTGTGTTCATCTCTGATGTTTCTTGAAGTCGTAGAGAAAGGAATGAATTTCCACTCTGCGGTAAAACCTCTTTCGTTTAAATAAAGTTTGAAGTCGGCCTCAGTTTGGTCGGTCGTGCGGTATTTGTTTGAGAGAAGTTGTGGGAAAACTTCATCTTATTTGGTTATGTTTCTGTCTTGGCTCTGTCTCCCAGATGAAATTTAAATCTGCATTAGTGGGATTGGTCATTTTGTTTCATTTTGGACAAAACACATGATTTATTCTTGTGTAGCAATACTTTGAGTTATTTACCTCTCTCTCTCCAAGTCTCTCTGGTCTGTTCTGCTCGAATGACATCACTCCCTGGCGCTCGCTGCGGCCTATCTTAAGTTGTAGCTGTTTTGTATTTTCATCTGCTAGTGGTTTGAGCCAAATGGAGGCAGCCGTGGATTGCATGCCTCAGAAAGCTGGGAACTAATACAACATGTTCGCTCGCTATTCGTCCGCTCTTCATGCAGCCCCCATAATCCTCATTCCATAAGATTGTTGCGGGGGTCTCACACACTGCGTGACTGGGCTGAGAGTTGGCAAATTATACATTTAGTTTGGAGTGTGAGTTTTTTGTGTAAATGTTCCTTTCACATCACGTACAGTATGACAGAAGCTTTCCAAACATGGTTATAAAATATGCCTGCGTTTAAAATCACGATAACACATAAAACGATGTCAAGAAGTTGAATTTGACTGATCTCTCTCTCCTCTTTCTTTACGACAGACGTCCTGGAACAGAGATCACGATGACACGGCGTCCACACGCTCTGGAGGAACGCCGGGACCGTCCAGCGGAGGACACACTTCACACAGCGGGGACAACAGCAGCGAACAGGGTAAGAGACTGACTTTCTTTCTTAATGAAATGGACCAGAAGGAAAGCACAGGGGCACCGTTTGCATGTTAACCAAGACATGTAAAAAGAACGTTATTATGAGTTCAGATGAGGATTGACGGGCTCATTCAGGGTATTTGAAGTTGGGTTACGTTGGTGCAACAGTTGCTCGTAGCTCACATGGAGGTCAGAGGTCATGGTCAGCTATATTAGAGCACTTCTGGACCAGGTAGGCGTTCACTGTCTCAGGGACACGTCGGCAGAGCAGACATGAGAGTGGCTTCTGTCTGACTGGTGCCCCTTTGGCAATTGTTTGTTTAATGCTACGGTTATTTAGCATTCAATCTGCTTTACATCTGAGCATATTGTGTTGTGTTTGTATGCTTCTGCTTTTTTTATATCCCAGACCACACAGTTTATATGGGCTCTTTTATGACTTAGGTTGCAGATCTCGTTATTTGCTGCTGTCATAAAAGAGTGATGGGGATTTTACTGTTTTATTATTTCTGGAAGGATTTAATTCACCTTTTTGAAGAATTTAAACTTAATAGATTTACTTTATTGACGCTAATAATAGCTTTGAATGTTGCAACTGTTACTACAGGCTGCTTGAATATGTTTACACACCTGAATTTAGACTAAAAGAGATGTGCAAAATGTGAAATGTGCAAAGAATATGTTTATACTTAATATATAGGGTCAAACACATGTGTCCTCTCTTGGACCTAATGACTCTGCTCAGGCCAAATGTGTATGCATTCTAAGAGAGAGAGAGAGAGAGAGAGAGAGAGAGAGAGAGAGAGAGAGAGAGAGAGAGATGTATATATTTGTTTTTTTGGTTTCATGGTTCTGCCACGAGCTCACAAGACAGTTTTGGGTAAGACATGGGGATGAGAGAGAGAGAGAGAGAGAGAGAGAGAGAGAGTTGGCCGTGGTGTGGTGGCGCTGCAAACAAACTGTAGGCAAAAAGCAACTTCATATATTATTGAAGGCGATGTTAAGGCGAGCGGTTTGCAGGGTTGCCAGTGCCAGGAGGCAGAGCCTGGGTGGGAGCACAGAGCCGCCATGCTTCCCCTCCGATGAGCAGCCATTTATATAGTCAACGCACACTCTCTGTCTCTCTTTGTCTCTCTGTCTGTCTCATCCTCTCTCTCTTTCCGTGTCTTTCACATTCTCTCCGTCTTTTCTCACTCGTCGTCATTAATGCTCGACAGAGGAGCTGAGGGACGGAGGTGAGAGACTAACATAAAAGATAGACGGATGACGTAGAAGAGGAGAATAGACTGGGGCGAAATTACAGTGAAACGGACAAAGACAAAGCAATATTTGTGTGTGTGAGTGTGTGCACGCCTCTTCTTCTGATGACTAATGGTCTGGGGCAGCCAGGCAGGATCTGATTGGTCGCTCTAATGAGCGTGCTCTGTGCCGAGTTTGGGCTCCTGCTTCTGTGACCTTTGCCCTCTATTGACCAAACTGACACTTCATTTTTCACATCTTTCCAATTATAGGCCCACTCCTTATGTTGGCCCACCTCCTCTCACTCTCTCTCTCTGCCTCTCATCATCTCTCTCTCTCTCTACCTCCACATATCCCCCCGCTATTGTAGGTTTTTGTTTGTTGTTGAAGTTCATTAGAGGGTAAAATGTGGGCTAGTGTGTGTATACATGTGCAAGTTTGTGTGTGTGGATGCAATGAATGAGGTGCTTTTGAGTTGTCTGAGTGTTACAGGAGAGTTTGGAGCAATGCACATAGAGGTATCTGAGGGACACATTGGCTAGGTTAGCTCAATTTAGGACAATAAAAAGTAGAAAAACAACCTATAATCTGCTTTTAAAAGCCATATTTGTATCATATTTATTACCTTCAGTGTCCAGTGTCAAATAAATACAGATATTAGGTGGAATTATAATATCTAAAACACAGAATATTATTAACTATTATCAGCAATTATTACGCACTACTTACATACTATGGGGCAAAAAACTAAATCAGATGGGTGTTATGTTAGAAGCCTGTGACCTAAGACTCTGTAGCTATGTTCGTATGACAAATAAAGAACCTTGAACCTTGAACCTTGTTCAGGTGTCCACATACTTTTGACCATGTAGTGTATATTTCCAAATGTAGACTTTTAAATCAAAGTAGAGCATTAAACAGCTTTCCTATGTTTCTCTCTGAGGCCTGCAAAAACATGTATGTGTGTAATTGCTTTGTATCTGTAGTGTTTATACACACACACACACACACACACACACACACACACACACACACACACACACACACACACACACACACACACACACACACACACACACACGCACACACACACCATGTATTCATCACTTCAGGGGACATTACATTGACTTACATGCATTTCCTGGAGACTTATCCTAACCTTAACTAACACATGCCTTACCAAACCTAACCCTAAACCTAACCAAGTCTTCACCCTAAAATTAATGATTCCCCTTATGGGGACCTCCATTTTGTCCCCATAAGGGAGGCGAGTCCCCACACGTGACTGTTTAAACAGATCTAGGTCCCCACAAGTATAGTAATGCTAGGCCACACACACACACACACACACACACACACACACACACACACACACACACACACACACACACACACACACACACACACACACACACGGTGACAACAGTAAATACCGGGGGACATGTTGGACTGCGTTCAGGTTTATGGGTTAAGAGCTATCACTGCCACGTCACGTCGGCTCTGGCGTGTCAGTCACTTGGTAATCCCGGTAAGCTGGTTATTTATCTGTTTGGCACTTTGCTCGCTCTCCCCCCGACAGTTTCACCCCACGTTCTCTCCCCCCCCGCCCCTCTTTTTTCTCGCCCTTTCATCTTTAGCATCCTCCCTCTCTTCTCCAGTTTTCCCTTGTCTCCCACCTACTCCTGTGTCTCCCTCTTTCATTTTGATATCTGTCGGCTTCTCTCCCCTCGCGTGTGAATACCCGTGCTTCTCTCTCTCTCTCCTCCTCTTTTTTTGCCATGCCTCCCACTCTCTGTAAAACACTACCTTTTGTTTATCTCTCTTCCTTCCCTTTCTCTCACCTCTCTTTGTTCCTTTCCTTCACTCCTTCTCAATCTTCCATTTTTCACATCTCTGTTCCTTTTGGTGAATATCATCTTTCCTCTTTGATCTGTTTCCTTCTGGCTTTGTGTTGTTCTGCTTCCTTCTATGTTGTTATCTTCCACTACTCATCTTACTTCTCCTCTACCTTTCTGAGTTCCTTCCTTCCTTCCTTGCTTCTCTATTCTATATTCTCCTCTTTCCCTTGTTTCATTCTTGTGTTTGCCCCAACCTTTGTCTTTACATTTCTTCTACCTTTTACAGATTGCTTTCTCACTGACCTTTCCCTTCCTCCCTCTCTCTTCCACTTTCTTCATTTCCTTCCCCTCTTGCCTGGAGAGCTGCACCGCTAATGGCCATCTTTCTCTCCTTCCCTTGTTCTCTCCTTCAACCCTTTTCTTAGACTATCAAGCCACTCTCCTTCCACACCTCATCCCTTACTCAATCTTCTCTAATTCCTTCCCTGTTTGTCTCCCCCTCCTCCCTCCCTCCCCCTCCTCCTCCTATCCTTCCTTCTCCCCCCTCCAGCAGAGCGAAACAGCTCAGAGGAAGGATGCTGGATGGTCGAAGGCCTTTAACTAGTGAACTCCAGTCTCCTCTCTCAGCCTTTTTTTTTTTCCGAGGCTATTCCTGAGCACATGCTCTGCTCTGCCCTCGTCTCTGCACGGTTCACTGCGCACTAGTTTACAAACCCCATCTCTACCCGGAAACGTAGCATGCTCACTCTCAAATGCAAGAGCTGCAGGAATAGTGAGTGTAGCGGCCAAAATCATATAGAAATAAAACAGATAATTAACTTTAAATAATACAGCCGCTGAGGCACTAGTTAGCAGATCTTACGCAGGGCAATGATCCAGGTCCAGACAAGATTCTCCGTTGTGCATTTTATTATGATCCAATATCATTGATAATGAACAGGTTTCCTATGGTTGGTTCCTTTAAGCCTTTCCTATGGTTTGTTCCTTAAGCCTTTCCTATGGTTTGTTCCTTAAGCCTTTCCTATGGCTTTCCTTCCTTGTGGTTGGAAAACCCTGTGGCTCGAATCACCCTGGTATAAAAACGTTTGCCTACTAGTGCTCTGGCTCCCACCACCCACCTGTCTCCAATATATACAATTACACCAGGTGCTCTAATCACCCAGTGCCCAAAACATGCCTTCAAAATAAAAGCATAGCAACTACTTTAACTAAGAATAGATATAAATAAATGATAATAATAATAAACACTATAAACAGCAAGTGTTGTTTCACTCAAATGCAGGAGAAGCTGTTTATTTCATGCAACCGAATCAATGTTATGATTATGTGGGTTTTAAAAAGGAGATATTTATTGATAGCTCGTGGGACTTGTATTGATCGGCAGGTGTTTAGCTGTGATCTGTGTCAAAGCAAGAATGTCAGCAATTAAAAAGAAGATGCTTTTTATTAGTTGCTTGTGGTGACGATGCTTAAATGCTGAGTTTGTGCTTGTGGGTGTTTTTTGCTTTGACCACAATGCCAGTGGTATTTTCTAGCGCTGAATTCCACAGAAGAAAATGGAGGGGGGGGATCACATTTGCTTCACACATGTCATTAAAATCAGTCCTGGGTGTCTCCTCTCTCCCGAAAAGAGCAGACGAAGAAGAAAGCCTCTTATTTTTCTCCTCCTTTTCTCTGGGAGGTCTTTGTAAACATCTAGCCAGCTCCGGCAGGGAGAGTCGGAGAGCGGCCCTGTAGTTAATTAGTCCCACTCTATTAGCCCAGCTGTTTGTTTGGCTTGTTCCTACCAACAGGGCCCTTTGTTTAATACCCAGAAGCCCTCTGGAGAAGCCCTCATTGTAGCTGTTGTTGCCTTGGATCATGCTTCTCTGTGAAGAGTAATGCTCCAAGGGAAGAGGAAAAGCCAACAGATCATATATGTCTTGCGATGGAGGAGGAGGAGGAGGGGGGGTCCCTCACGGACACAAGCGGGCCCTCTCTTTTTCTCCCAGTTTATAAGTACTCTTCTTTGCCTGTGTGAATTTGTAAGGACACCCCTTGGCTTCTCCGAGGGCTTGGCGTGCGAGGGAAACAGAATAACATTCAGGCGCTGAATCGGGCAGCTGCAGCGATGTGGAGCTGAGGAGGCTTCGCTGTGTTTTTGAAAGCTACAGGGTTTCCCTCTCCGCTTGTCAGAAACATCCAGGGAGCGAGGCGTTGACTGGCGATATTAGATATGTATCGCCAATTACCCGGACCGTTTGTGAAGAGAACAGTGAGCCGCGCCAAGGCAAACAGCTCCCTGTAAGGCAATGTGTTAGTGTCTGCATACACTTCTCCTGTCTGAGTAGTGGCCTGAGATTTCTGGTTGTTTTGTCTGATATCTAGTTCGGAGAGTTAGTTTTTTTTTTTCATTATTATTGGCTGGTGTAGTTGGAGGAATGCTCAACATAAAATGTATGTGAATATTTGCCATTTTATGGTCATAAACCGTGTATATGTCGAAATAAAATATATGGAAATCCTATTTTAATGTAGTTTATTTCTTCTGCACATTGAAATCATGCTCCAGTCTGGACAATGACATTTGTTATACTTGATGATAATAGTGATTTCAAATTTGAGATATGAATGAACCCTGAAAGCAAGTCTATCAAGAATATAATCGAAAAGGAAATATCTGAGATTCCCTAGTGACCAAAGAAACACACACTTTTTCTCCTTCTTTGTGTTGTGGCCCCAAAAACACATGTGGAAAATCAGTTCTCCTGTTTTGACGTGTATCTAAATACCGTGTCCTAATGCAGCTTCACCCCATTCAATCTGAATCTCTATATATAACTTCTTCCATTGGCTGTGAACCCCATCGATCAGAATATTCCTGATGTTGTCACCCACCGTCCGACCTCTGTGCCCCGCGACAAGGTCAGGCCAACGCAGAGGAGCTGCTGCTCTCTGTCTGCTCATTGGTCAGTCTCCAGGGCCGGGGCGAGGAAACGGGGACATGGACAGGGGTGCCAGGCAATCAGCAGCCAGATCCAGCTCGTCCAATCACTCGGCTTCACGTGGCCCCCTCAAAGTGACCGATTAATTGGTCCGATGTCCAGTAGACTGGAAGAGAGAACTGTGTGTGTGTTTTCCCCTCGCTGGAAAGCTTTTATCTCCCAGTGGCCCTTAGATGCTGTTGAAAATATCCTGTTAAAAGTAATATGAGTGTGAATTAGATGCATTGGCACACATACAATAACCTCTTAATGGTTTTAGAAACATACTTAAACAGAGCAGTAGGTGAACTTCCAGCTAATTGAGATGATCATAACATATTTGGATTTAAGTAACAAGCATTCATTTGTGCACATTTTAAAACTCTAAGTGTTTATTATTTTGTCCAAAATTAAAAATAATAAAAAGGGGAGATATAGAACATACGAGAAACATTACTTAATAGTTATGTCTGGTTGTCTAGATGTCGTCTAGACGTTACTGAGGGAGATCGTTGGTCCGGTAATTGTCTTACTGGTGTCCAGCTTTCCTGGTAATCTGTTTAAATGTGAGGCTATGTGGGTAGATAAAAGGTATGTGGTTCCCCTGATTAGTCTGAAGTCTGTATAACTGGAGGTGTGTGTGTAAGTACAGTAGCTGGCAGAGACAAACAAGATCTCTCTTTGATTTCCTCAGAGCGTGAACACAGGGGAGAGAGGAAGACAAAAGTGAAAGACAGAAAGAAAGAAAATGAGAGCAAGATGAGTAGAGGGTTTCAATGGAAACATTTTGATGCTGACTGGAGCAGTGTGTAGGTGTGAATGACTGAGGAGAAGAGAGCGAGACAGAGCGGTTATCCCCGATGAGTGTGTTAAGTGCTGCTGAGTGTTGTCTGGGAGTCTGTTGAGGTGCTGCTAGCAAACAGCAATATCTTCTCTGAGAGATGAGAGAGCTGTGACCGGGCCACCTGAAACTCACTACATGTCCCATAGCGGGATAAGTGTGTGTAAGCATGTGTTCAAAACGGTTTCATGTCTGCTGGGCTCCAAAAGCCTAACTTTCAGTTCACATGCTGTTTATTAAAATCAATATTTGAAAGGCATAAAGGGTAATGTGTCTCAGAACAACTTGAGATAACATCCCTCCACAACTCCACTTTGCCGGTAGGAATGTTTACTCAGCCTCGACTGGATTTACTGCATCTCAAACATTATTATCTGCAGTTACCTGGGAAAATAAATGTTTGTGCCTTCCAATCACACCCCCCCCCCCCCCCCCCCCCCCCCCCCCTCTATCAGATTCACTGAGATCTTTACAGCCATCGCCGCTGCTGACGCGTTAACCGACATGTAAAGACTCGCATAGGGAAAATGATAGCCCTCAATGTGTTTTTATTGCCTCGTAGGCAGTAAGCAAACTCGGAGCGGCCTGAGTTTGCCCCTCTCGGAAAAAGAGGAAATTGTATCAGGTTCCCACAGCAAGGGGCCAGTTTGCTTTAAGGATTAGGACCGGTGTCACCCGGCCGCTGGGGTCATTGGATAAAAGAATCAGAAACACAAGTCAACAAAGTGACTTCCTCCAGCCTCGCGGACCACCTCCTCTCCGCTGCCTCCGTTCCCCACATGAGAGGATCATCTGCTAAGTCAATCAGGATCCCTAACTTGTGTTTTATTGGCTTGTGTGAACGTCTCATCTGTGAGAAGATAATGGTTATAAAACTGTTTGACAAGGTGGCAGAGGCTATTTGTCTGTTTGCCTTTGGATTTATGTGCTGCTAGTGTACACATCATCATGTGAGCCTCATATTTGCACATATTTCCTCTCATAGTCTCCTTCTCCCTTCTCTCTATGGCTTTTGCTCTTTCTGTCTCTCTGTTACACTAAATCTCTCCTGCACTCTCTCTCTCTCGTCTGTTGGTTACATGTGGGCATGTTTGCATGACCAAAGAAATGCAAAGTCTACCCTAGACCATTACAATATGCCTTGTGTGCACAATTTACATGAAATACATATTCATTCATGACATGCATGCACACAAAATAGCTTTCCTGCAGCCTTGAATCTGTGCGCTCGCTCAGGATGTGTTGTGTTCAGAAAGTCTGCCAAATGAAACCATTGGCATCATTTTACGTCTCTTATTTTTTTTACAAAGCTGCCTGTGTTGCATTTGATCTTCCTTGTTTTAGTCATAAATGCACCTGGAACGCACCCTGTAGTTTGCTGCTGCTCCAAGAACAGCCGCTTATTTAACTTTTTTTAACATTTGCTTCAGTGAGGGAGAGCAAGCGGGAGGGACATGTATCTTTAGCTCCCATGTTATAATTGTGGCACGCTAATGATGTAGACACATTCTCGCTGTCTGTTTACAGGAAGCGCTCTTCTCTCATTTGCAACTGGCGTGAATGCCAAATGCCTATATCTAATTACTGATGTTTGCTAAAAGATACTATTTACACACACTTGTTGCCTTGTAGAGGTCTCCTGTGTGTTGGGGTGGAGAGATTATCACAAGAAAAGTTCAATTCAATTCAAGTTAATTTATATAGCACAATATCACAAATCAACAAACACAATTGGCAATGTAAAAACAACAAACGTATCTTACAAGATCAATGTGAAAATACCAAAATGTTTAAAC